TCCTGCCCGACCGGCCACCCGCCCAGGAGCCCAGCAGCAGCACCACTGGACCCCAGGGAATCCCCCCAGCACTCAAAAAGGTAACGAGGCTGGGGGGATTACATTTAAAAAAAAAAATGCGTGTGTGTTTGTGTGTTAGTGTATGTGTTTGTTTGTGTGTGTGTGTTAGTGTGTGTGTTTGTGTGTTAGTCTATGTGTTTGTGTGTGTATGTGTGTGTTTGTTTGTGTGTTAGTGTATGTGTGTGTTAGTGTATGTGTGTGTTAGTGTTTGTGTGTTAGTGTTTGTATGTGTGTGTTTGTGTGTGTTAGTGTATGTGTGTTAGTGTGTGTTAGTGTATGTGTTTGTGTGTTAGTGTATGTGTGTGTTAGTGTATGTATGTGTGTGTTTGCGTGTGTTAGTGTGTGTGTTTGTGTGTTAGTGTGGCGTGTGTTAGTGTGTGTTTGTGTGTGCGGTGGGCGTGTTAGTGTGGGCGGCGTGTGTTTGCGTAGTGTGTGTGTTTGTGTGTGTGTGTGTGTTTGTGTGTGTGTTTGTGTGTGTTAGTGTGTGTGTGTGTTAGTGTATGCGTGTGTTAGTGTATGTGTGTGTGTCAGCATGTCTGTGTGTGTGTCAGTATGTCTGTCTGTCTGTGTGTCAGTATATATGTGTGTGTATATCTGTGTGTGTCAGTATGTGTATGTGTCAGTATGTCTGTCAGTGCGTCAGTATGTCTGTGAAAGGTGTATGTATGCATGTGTCAGTATATCTGTCTGTGTGCCAGTATGTCTGTGTGTGTGTGTGTCAGTATATCAGTCTGTGTGTGTCAGTGTATGTGCCTGTGTGTGTGTGTCAGTATTTTTCAGTGTATGTGGGTGTCAGTATATCTGTCAGTGTGTGGGTGTCAGTATTTCTGTCAGTGTATGTGTGTCAGTATGTTGATCAGTGTATGTGTCTGTGTGTGTGTGTCAGTATGTCGGTATATGTGTCTGTGTGTCAGTATGTCTGTATATGTGCCTGTGTCAGTATGTCTGTCAGTACGCCTACCAGTGTATGTGTCTGTGTGTGTGTCAATATATGTACCTGTGTCAGTGTGTCTGTCAGTGTATGTGCTTGTTTATCTGTATGTAGTCAGTGTATGTATCTGTGTATCTGCTTGTGCGTCAGAGTGTGTACCTGTGCATCTGAGCCGCAACTTTAAATACAAATACACCACTACATATAAAACACACTCCTGCATTGAAACGTCAACACTACATACAAGCACACTCCTACATTCAAAAACAAACACTACACATAAATGCACACTTGCATTCAAACTCCAGTACTACATACAAACACATTCACACAAACATACTCCATACAAACACATGCTTACATTCAAACATACTAACATGGCTCAGTGCTAAATACAACCCTGCAAGCATGGGAAATTGGTAGAGTCCCAGCTGTCAAAGCATTGTTGGAGTTGCACGACAGATGGGGTTCTACCTTTAGTCCAACCTTGCAATTGGGGGTCCCAATAAAATTCATTCTACTTTAGTACGGCCACTGTGTTGGGATGGATGCCGTGATTGCATACCAGGGAGTGAGGGGCGAGAGCGGCAGGGCACAGGGGGCCCAAGCAAACACTTGCCCAGGGTCCATTCGTTATTAAAGACGGCCCTGTGTGTAAGGGAAGCATGTTGTGTTTCTGTGTATGTATAGGGATGCATTGTGTGTGTGTGCGCGCGTAGTGTGAGTTCCCTGTCTTGGCCCCTGTCCTATAGAGCTGCCCCTTCTTCTTATTCCCCCCCTCTTCTTATTCCCCACTCTTCTTATTCCCCCCTCCCCTTTTTATTCCCTCCCTCCCCTCTTCTTATTCCCCGCCCTCCACTCTTCTTATTCCCCCCTCATCTTATT